CACCATAAGTCATCATTTTCAATTGTTCAGGAGACCATGAATCTAAATTTGTAGACCTACATAAAATATACATGTTTTTCATAAAATAAAAGAGAAACACAAAGACTAGAGAATATAAGCAGCAGCAGATGCATCTTCAATCATATGTTGGTATAGTTATTACAAAATCCAAAAAGAGTAGCTCTTTTTCTCACTTTCATTCCTTTTGAGAAGCCCAGTAGATAGAAAACGACAGAATATAATATGCTCAATGAAACATTGCCATATGATAATTTATAAATTTCCACAGCTGATATTTCATTTTTATCCATAAATTTCCTCACGAAAACAAGAAGTGAAAGCGAGAAAAAGCCTTTTGTGTTCCCCTGTGTAATAATAAAACAAAAATTCCAACTATTTTCAAGCATAATTTGCGAATTCAGATGCACAAAATTAAAAAGCATCAATCGATGCACAACATGAAAAAGGTAAAAGCATTCGAATTAAAAAAAAGGCTAAAAAAATACCTGACAAAGCTGATATGGACACCGAGACTCCGGTGAACGGCTGAGCAATCGATGCAGAGAAAGATCCCATATGTAACCGACGCCCATGTCGGATTCTTCGCATTACAATCAAAACACATCTATAAAAAAAATACAAATGAGCCTAATTTTAAGATGCAGTGACAGAAGTTCCAGATCTGAATCAGATCTAAAAACATATTATAATAAAAATCCAAAATCCAAAACAAAAAAGAAAAAGAAACAAACCTTGTTTTCTGATTTTGCTTTCAGCTTTCTGAAAACAGCGTTCTTGTCGCTCAGGCTATCCGACGACGCCATCTTTTCCTCTCTTTTTTTTTAATTTTCTCGTGGCTGGTTTTGGAGAAGATATAATATTTTTCCGAAGAGGTGTGGGATCGAACACCTCCTCCTCGGGCTTTGAGAATTAGAGAAGAAGAAACCTGGTAGTATTAAAAACAAATAGCAGACGCTAACTCCGAATTTACTACGAAAACAAATTAATAAAATTATTATTATTAAAGTTTATAATATGAAAACCACAGATTATTATTAGACTTCATTTTTAACTTAAATGTGAGTAATTTCATTGTTGAATATATAAATATTTTTGGTGAAGTGCTCAAACGGTACCTCGATTATAGGTACTATTTTGTTGAGTCCCTAAATTATTAGAAATTATAAAATGATCTTTAAGTTATAAGTTAATGCTTTATTAAATCTATCGACTATTAAAAGTTACAAAATAGTAACTCGACTATTCATATATTTCAAACTCGTCATTTTCTGTTAAGAAATTTATAGTCGTATGAACAAGACGTTAATCTGTTAACTGTAATATGATAAAATCTAATCCAGAATCTCAAAAAACTGCATAATTCAAACGGTTATGAAATTATATTTTATAATATCTCATTCAATAAATTAATGTTTAGCTCAGATGACCTCCCATTTTTTTAACAAAAAATAATGAATTTAAAACATATGAATAATTGAATAATCATTTTGTAACTTCTAATAGTCGAATGACTCAACAAAATAGTGACATATAATCAAGAGACCATTTGTGTACTTTACCCATATATTTTTAGCACAAGTTAAGTGAACTTACTAATTATAAAATTATTGTTATTTCTTAAAGTTTCAGATTTGAACATCTTGTATACAAAGATATGAACGTTTAATGTCAAATAATTAAAATTTTTTGTATAAATACTATCTTTTATTCACCTAAATTAATTAAAAATATTTTTAGAGTTTAAGGTTCTATTTTCTAGGGAAAAACTATATTATTTTTAAATTAAATATAATTATAATATATATAATTAAATATGATATGAAAATTTTAATTATAGTTATAATATAATATACATTATATTATAATGTTACCTTTTTCATATGACGGATTCTTTCTTTTAATTCTTTTTCTCGTTCTTTTTAAAGTTATCTAAATTTTATTTTTTAATATAGTCATTAATCGACAAATTTTTATCTATCTCAGAAAGAGTAAACGATTTAAAAACATTACGATCACCATTTATCTTATTAACAATAATAATTATATTTTAATACAATTATATTATAAAAATTGAATATATTATTATTTGAAAATAGAATCAAAAGGAAACCAAACAAATAGTAGTGCGCTTGAATCTGGTTTTTAGGGGGATTTGGGTCCATATAACGATTATGGCCTTTGGGTTTAGGGTTCCCAAAGACCATATTCAGGTTACTAATGGCTCAAATTTAGATATTTTGCAACCCATCATTTGTTTTCCAAATAGCATAATTATAAATATTATATTATTACCGTCGTATAATTTTTCTTAAAATGTTATAATTATAACTTAAATTGATATAATAAAAATTAATGGAGTTTTGTTTTAATTAATATTTATAGAAAGTCATGAATTCAGATGTATTCATAGGTAATTGTCTCTCAATTAGAGATTTGAAGAGATTATAAATAATTTAAATATTAAATTAAAAAATTAATAAAATGTAATTATATGTATTCATAAGCAATCATTATAACGTACAATCTAATTAATAATTAAAATATATTCAACTATTTAAATAAAAGTCACAAATAATGAGATTTTTTATTAAACAAATTAACGAGGAGACTTGATCAGTATAAAATTAAAATTCAACTCATACATGATATTTATAAATCTTAATCATCCAAAAGGTACTACTATTATTTATCCAAAAAAATGGGTTCTACTAAAAATTCTTTCATTTTCTTAATCAAAATATTATAACATGTTGATTGGCTGTGTCGCATAAAGTAAAAGAGCAACTAACAATATGTGTCTTACGTAACACAAATAAATTTTATTTTAATAATAATTTTAAAATTTGTCAATTAAAATATTATTATATTCTGATTGGAGGTGTCGTGTAAAGTAAAGAAATAACTAATAATCTTTATCCTATGCGATACAAATATATGTTATTTTGATAAAATATCAAAAGAACCTTAAAGGAGGGAGTCATTAAAGTAAATAAGTCAAAAATCCAAACAACTAACGGGTGTCACGGTAGGTCTTATAACCCAGATATTACTTAAAAATTAATTTATGGATTAACATTCAAGACATATTAATTTTTAAATTTAAAATTTAAAATATATAAATAAATATGATCTTATAATTATTTTAAATTATTCAAAATAAATAATAATATATAAGATGAATTTTTTTTTATCAATTCGCAACTTAGAGAGAGGGGAGTCTGAGCCTATAAGATTGAAGAAAAATATGCAGACGGTTGTGATTGGAGTTGAAGTTGGTCGAAAGAGTGGAGCCAGCATGGCCTCTTTTTGCACGAAATGAACCAATTAATAACCTAAGGAAACGCCTAAAAACTAGGGAAAGATTCTCTATGACAAACGACAATCCACCCAACATTTTTAGTATATATATTTTCTCTCTTTAGAAAGCTGCTCCTTGTATGTAGCTTTTATTTCTCTCAAGGGACCTACCATTATTACTACAAACACACAAGATCTTGCCTCATTTGCCACACAACTTGCCCCCCTAGCATCCAATACCAATTTGGCCTTTCGCCTTATCAAAACGCCAAGTCGTTTTCCATTAGACTTTGTTGTCAAATCACCGGTGAACTCAGTGCTCCATCACGTGGTTTCGAATTATATTACCAAAATAAGAAAGAAGGGTCAATTATTATGAATTATGATCAAATATTAAAATAAATTAAATTATAAAACTTAGATTGCTATCATGAAATACAAGACGGATCAATTATAACTTTGGACCATATTACTATCTTGATGAATCAAATGGTATTGTTCGAAGAAACCCTAAAAGATTAATCTTTATAGTCAGTAAAACAAATATGAAGATCCTTCGTTTAAACGATAAGAAAAACAATGTAACAACTATGCCACTTAGAAGCCACCCTATATAAATTTACCCTAACATTAATTTAATAAGCTTAGCAAGCATATATTATTTTCCTCCTAGCATAGAATAATACAACTTAAAAACCCATATTTGGATTCACCATAGGTTCCAAGTTTAATTTCTTAATGAATTGTAATAGCTAAGTACGTGCATTTCAAGGGCCATCTAGTAGGAAAAAAGAATAAGAAACTAACATTAACGAGCTTAAAAAGCTTTAAAGAGAGATTTAAAAACATAAAACAATGGGCAAGTAAAAATAATTTGGGGAAACCTGATGAGTGAACCCTAGACGTTTTCTTACGGATAAATCCCATGATCCAAATCTCAGAGAGCAGCTGAAAACTCTTTAACAACATGAAAAAACAAGACAGCTTTTGCTAAAATAGTCATGGCCGGCCCAAATATGCATCTTCTTGGTGTTACAGTTCATTAATGTAATTATGTAAGAGCCGGCCTGCATGCATAAACTAAACAATATATGATCTCATATAATTAGAAACCCTACGGATTACGACACTTAGACAAGGAAAATAATGGCATTGATTGATAGGTAGTCCTAACAACGATCTGTGCATGATTGTGATCCAACGGTTCAATACCATTTGTAGGGTCAATGCAGGCACTGAGAAACCCTTACCAGAAAGAAACCGCCCCTCTTCTCTGTAATTTTTAAGCTTTCTATGAAATTCCATCATAGGTCACCTACCCTCCCTCTTTCTCTTACTTTTTGACAGTAGATTCTCGATGCAGGAAAACGCAGTCCCACGCTGAAGCTACTAATGAATCATTTCTTCATATATAGGTAAACATGAAATTGTGGACGATGGGAAGGTAGGGGACGCTCATCTTTTAGTTTATCAAGGATCAAAATTAACAAAGAAAGCAATATCCGAATCCCTAAATAATATATAGCTGTTTAGATAGTAATTTAATCTAAATCTTTGCTAAAAGAGTATCTAGCTCTTTGCCATTTGACCCGATAAATATCAGGGTCTTAGTCACTTTTAGCCGTTAGGGTTAGACGATCATTATATATATGTATATACATGCATTATATAAAAATATAAAACAAAATGCAGTTTAATAATGGTTCAAATGATCAAACATCCATGTACAAATGCAATAGGAGAAATACATTAAAATTAAAAAATTTCATATCTTCTTTTATTTTTAAAGTATTCTTAGTGTCACTCCTAACCCTAGTTGTCCATTTTCTTTTGTTTTTTCTCCATTTTTTCACATCACCTGTGGTTTGTTATTACTGTCGGCAGCATCACGCGCTAAAGCTTCGGTGACAGAGGCCAGCTGCTGCAAGTTTAGCTTGACGACTGTATCAGCAAACAGCCGTGTGTCTTCTTCGGAATTTCCTTCCGGGATATCAACGACGTATGATTCCAAAACGATGGTCCAGATCCTTCCTTCGCTCTCGAAACCATGCACCGTCGTCACCGACCGGTAATTACGCAACCGATGCTCGCCCCCGAGAACGCTGAACCCGGTGACTTGTCTCTCGTCATCTAAAACATCGAGTCTCTCCGTGCTCGTGGAAGCCGGCAACCCGGAGATCACGGTGACGTCACGCGTGCAACCCACGGCCATTTGGAAACCTTCTTTGACCGAACAGCTCTTGATGAAGTGTTTGTATGTCTGGGGTTTGTCGAAGCGTTGGACGACGGACCAGACAACGTCGCGAGGGGTGTTGATACGTTGGGTTAGCAAGGAAGAACACTGACCCGGGCTAACTGTGTAGGTGTGGAACTGAGTGATGGAAGGGATCAACTCGGAGAACTCTTCGTGGGTTAACCCGGTAGGGATGGTGAGGTGGTGCGAGGTGGGTTTGGAACAAAGTGATGGGTCGGGCATTGAAGAGGAAGGTTCGGGTTTCGGGTCTGCCATTTGACCTGAAGAAAAAGGACGATGATGAGAAGGATAAGGGTTTAGAACTCTAGCAGGAGCTTATAATGGACGGCGATTACGGGAAATGGTCGAGGGCAAAATAGGAATTGAGCTTTTTACTAATATAAATTTTTAAGGGTTAATTTCATCTAACATCCTCAAACTGTGCTCTATATTCTAAATTGGTTCTATATCTTTAAAGTATTTTAATATAATATTCAACTTATAAATAAGTGTACTTACTATATGGATAAATTTCACATTTGAAATGTTAAAGAACAAAAATAACCGTTCTAAATTTTATTAGCATTATATTTTCTTTTTTTAGAAATCGCTAATTTTATTAAAAATAAAAAATATTCAAATTACAATGAAGATTACAATTAAAATGGTAAACAAAATACTTAATAAAAATATTTTTCTTAACAAAAAAAAAATTTAAGAAAAATAGTCACTTAATATCACACAATGATCATACAAGGAAAATGTTAAAAACCTAACCAAAAAAACTCGAACAAAAGTTAGATATGAACAGATCTGACTATATATATCGATAAATAGACCACAAAAGAGGATGAATATATTGAAAGACCACCAATAAGCTGCAAATCAGAATCAAGCGACGTGAAAATACTAGCTACGAACACAAATTGAGTATCCAAATTCAATTCGATGGTCCAAAGAATATAAACGTCATCTTGATCAGTCATGTCGATGTTAAATTCAACCCTAAAACAATAATAAACAAAAACAATGACTAAATAACTGAAAACGTGATATAAAGACAGATAAAAATGTGTAATAAAGATATAATTATTAAAAAAAGAAAAAAAATAAAGATACATTATAATAAAACAAAAGAACAAAAATGAATATCGACGATTGACAATCAATATCAGAATTAATGCCATCACCGATTACAAAGAAAAAAAGAAGTAAAATGAGTAACAATAACTAAGGAAAAAAAAAGGAAAAAAAGACAAACCCTAGATGAGAAAGTAGTTTTTTTTTTTCAATGGCTAAGCCATTGTTCCCCTAAACTTATCACATTCAAATTGTTTATATAATAATTATACACTTATAATTTAATAAATTATTCTAAATACATTTGATATAAAAAATAAAATTATATTTAATATTAAAATTGACTGATCAACCTGATTAAATGCTTTAATCGATATAATATTAAAATTTAATAATTTAATTAAAATATTTTTAAAAATAACGATAATTTAAAGATATCATATACGATCAACACAAATTTGTTTATTTTAAAAGGCGATGTGATGGGATGGATCGTTGGGAAGCATGTGAAGTGTCACAGCCCGCACGTGACAAAGTGAACAATTAGGTTCAGATTCAGAGAATTCGATGTTAGGTTGCCGAACATGAAAGTCTGATTTAATTAAGACTCATGGGAAAATAATTACCTTTTCCGACTCTAAATTAAAGAACAAATATTACTTGAATAATAACTAAACGTGAATTTTCCATATTAATTGTAATCAATCAATTAATTAACGGACTAATGCTGTTTTCATATATTCAGCTGATGTTCTGTGTTGGCTGTTTCTTTATATCCTAACTATCGAAGTCCATTTCAAATGACACAAGCCAAATTGCTTTTCTTTAAATATAGGTAGAATATCGAAATTATAAATATTTATGGTTCTCCATTTTCTAAGTTTTGCCTTATATAATAATTTTCATAAATTCGTATGACCAGACAACTTTGGCAGCTATGAGATTTATTATTACTTTTTGAGATTTTAGATTCGAGCACCATATATATACAGTGTTATGAGCGTTCATTGTCAAAGAATTAAAAATATTTGAACAAATATTATCTTGTATATACTAAATTAATCAATAAAATGAAATAAAATAAGCGTGTAATAAATTCGAGCCAAAATCATTTTATATATATTAATGGTGGGGAAAGAAGGACAATGATTATTTAAATATTTGCAATTGTTTAAGTGAAATGTGGGTTCCTTGAATCTTGAATTGAAATATGCATGTTGTCCACTTGCAATCTATGTTTCCATATATTTTTGACTTGTAAATCATGGGAAGCTTCAAGTCCCCACGAGAGATGCCTTGGACTACAATAAAAAACCAGCTCATGTTTAACCATACCATATCTTGCTCAAATTTTAAATATATACATACATGTTGCATAAAAGGATTAATAGAATGTATTATATGCCAAATATTAGATTAGAATAAGTTCAGGTAAGATTTGTATATAATAAAATTTAAATTAAATTCATTTATAATATTTATGTATGGTGACACTTAAACTATAATCAACGAATATATATATATATATTGATGGATGCTTATATATTATTCAATGGTATAAATACATGATTATTTGGTGGTTCAATTACTAGGCCTTGACATAGAAGGATTTTCAAGTCAGATACGTTTGTTTAATATTGCCTAATTCCTGGGGAAGAATTAAGTGACAAATTAGGTCTAATTTCTAAAAGCGAGAACATTACCAATTAGGCCCCAAGTGAAGAGCATATACTATGATGAACTAAATTAGTCGGGTGTGATGATTAATATTGATATGTAATTTTAAAGATAAAATATAAAAATGATTATTTAATTATATTAAAATATTTTTTTATTATTAAATTTTATAGATTATAAAATAATCACTAATTTTTTTTTAAATAATTACAAAATGATTATTAAACTTATTAAAATGTTATGAAACAATCTTTAAACTTATCAAAATTTATCACTACTTTATAACGTGTAATTATAATTTAATTGAAACTAAGAGTGAGACATGGTCATTGTGTTTCAAACAAATATGTTTGCATTTACGAAATAAGGAAGAGGAGAGTTTTTTTTTTTTGAATAGTCTAAGGCGATTTCAAGATAATATATGTTAAGAATCTTATTAGTTATTGACAACACAAACCGAAAATAACTTTTTGAATCGAGTACTTCTAATGAAAGCATCACTCCCTTTAACCTATAATGAATGAAGGGTCCAGCAAGATTGACTTCGAATATTTTGGTTGCTTCAACTTGTCCTAAAGCTGCTTTCACATGCATAGGTTAAAGAATTGGTAAAAGTGGGGTCAAGGCCTAGATCAAGTTGATCATCCAAAATTTCTATCCTTTTTGTCAAAATCCCAATTCCGTTTGCCGTTAACTTGAAAATTTAGCCAACACGTGGTAAGATCTTATTGGATTTCAAATATCTTCATATGGACAAGAGAGAGAGTGATTATGGTTTACACGAAGAATCATAATCTTTGAAGAGCATAGAGGAACTGCTGAGAGAGGGGAAGGAAGATGGCGATTGATTTGCTTTGGCGAGGCCCCTCAATCAAATCATCTACCAATGAAATCCTTTAAAGAAAAATAAGTTACTTCATAGAGTTGATGTTAAATTGATGAAAGAATGTTGTTTTCTTCCACTCATTCAATGGAAGCTACAGCAATCTCGATGGATTCGGGTCACAATATTTCCGAAACTTCGATTCAAACATTGTAACTCACTGGCGATGCCAAACTTATATCAATATTTTGTGAGAATCAGAGTGCAGAGAACAATTGATTTAGGCCAAACTAGACTTGGTCACTTCATATGCCAAGAAGCATGCTGCGTTTGCAGGAACGCTTCGTGCCATGGCAGGGCCAAACCCTTTGTAAAGGCCTTTCAGACCTTCTGAAGCCAATATCCTCTTGAAGGCGTTTACGGAGCCTCTGTATTTGGGGTTATTGTAATCATCGACTTGGATCACACTCTTGACAACATCAGTGGGGTAGACTGCGAGCCAGAATGCAGCGCCAGCCAAGCCTCCTGCCGTAAGAATAGAGCCTCTTCCTAGCTTAGATGTGTCTGGCCCTCCTGCCATGTATTGCTTCAGCGCTTCGTAGAAACCAAACACGACGGCGTTTCCGGGAACCTCACGAGCTAAGGTTGGAACCATTCCCTTGAAAAGACCCCTTACGCCACCTTCTGACCTGAGGACATGCCTCGCTACATCCATCGGCCCTCCGTACTTTACCATTGCACCGGCTGATCCATCTGCCAACGCGCTCTGTGCCTGCAATCTGATCAACTTGGTTTAAGCACTTTATGCATTAATAGTTATAGCATCCAAATGACAAAGGGAACAATCATGTAAAAAATCTCGTTAGCCAAGATGCCGACCTGCATTTGATCAACTCAGTAGGACAAGCTAAGAACGAAACAGCAACACCAGCACCAGCCCCACAAATGACCTGCTGGCCGACTGTAAGAGTGGCACCGGGTTCCGATCTTAACAGTGCTTCTATTTGCCCTCTCACTGTAAAGAGGACAGCGTTAAAGGCTGCCACAGTGGCCAATGGAGCCCCCATTCCCTTATACAAACCCCGTAGCCCTTCCGCAGCTGTAGTTTGTCGGACAGCATCCATAGCACCAGCATATTTGGGTGGCTGCCCGGGAAGCGGAGCAGACTGGCTTTGAAGCTTAACCTTGATGGTATCAAAAGGGTGCCCAACTATCAACTGCGCTGCTCCTCCAACAGTTCCAGACGTTAGATCTTTTGCAACATCTCCCATCTGCAGAAGTTAAACATGGACTAAAACAGTTAGATTTACCGAAGTGGCATGGAATGCTTTAAGCAGAACACAAGAACCTTGAGATAGAATGTCTCCACTTCACTTAAATGTCTGCAAACACAAGAATAAAGGGTGATAACTTCCAATAAAACCATTTCTCGGTATCAAATCATTTTCGAGTTGAATGCTTCACTTATAAATATCACATTTTGACATGATGGCCATCATCTGCAACTAAAAAAGGCTTATCCTAGGGACCAATATGCAGGGTTTCGAAACAAAAAAGATAACTCGTTTTGTCATATATGGATATACTAGTCACTCACCAACTAGGCTTCCACTACTACTCTCCACATTGTTTCTATCCTAGAGAACAACTACAGCTGGAATAGCTCCAAAACAACATCATCCTCACTAATGAAAGGGACAGATCCACCAACATATCTTTCCTCGTCGAATGTTGGTGGAATGCACCCATGGCACATCTCTTACTTGCAAACCTTTATGCAAAAAAAGCCATTCGAGCTTAAATTTGATCCGCAAAGTTAGACACGACGAATACTTTTTCTTCGATGAGGGAGGCGAAAGGGGTTAGATCGAATTCAAAAGATGTCTTTTGTCACTGCACCACAATGACATTAAGAACTGCAAGCAATATTGATTGAAGAACAAACTCGCAAATCCCAACAATCAATTTACTAAGCACAAGTCACAATTAAGAGCTAAAGCAACAAAGAATCATCCGATAAAGTTGTAATCCAGAGAGATTGGTCCGAAGAATCCATAAAGACAGTAACTTTGGGTCTCAAGGATTCTGCTAAAAGGTCCAAAGCTTAATCCTTTACACCATTTAAAACACGCACTTTAATCAAAGTTGCCGAAAGATTTTACGACAATTGAGTTCGAAATCAAAGCTTCAAAGGGTTTGGGGAAAGTGTACATGAAAACTCGATCTCAGGAAACTAAGCGGATGTTCTACTCACGTTTCTCGTTCGTATTCGACAAGAAGTAAGGACCTTACCTTGAAAACGTAATCAAATGAGGAAGGAATCGAAGTCGATGGATGGTTAAGACCCAAACCAGGAGATCAAATCTGATGAAACGAAAAACCAATAAGATTCAACTTATTAACCGAAGAGTACAGACACGAGGAAAACTCTGCCAGAAAAATGACAGCGCTAGTTCCCACAAAAAAAATCGCCTAAAACTTTTCTTTATATGGATGTTTGGTGAGACTTTACGGTCAAACTTGTTACTAGTCCCTGTACTATGTGTAAATTACTTATTTAGATTTATACTCTAATTTGATCGTTTCTTTACAACAAAATCATATATTAACACTCCACCTACATTCGTTTATTAATAATTTAGTCATTTCAATATGTATACCTTTCAAACTTCGAAAATTTGGTGTTGATCCAAATGATAACCGTTAAATTTGTTATTAATTCTTAGATTGTGAGTAAATTATAGACTTAGTTCTTCTTCTCCAAATTGATCATTATAACCATCACATTAATGTTTGGCTAACACTAAAATTTCAAAATTCAAACCATGTAAGGACTAAAATTAATTATATTAAAATATATAATCTAAATTGTAATTTCTGCATAATATAGAGATTAATAATATAATTTGACCTTTTTATAAGTGGTCTTTTGAGGTGGGCGGCGGCTAATCGTTGTTGAAAGAATTCAGCAACGATTCAACGTACGCTACTAGCTTGCTTCATCAGCCCAACACGAAAAGCAGTTTCGGTACTACTTTTGGATTTTCCTTTGGATAAAACAAATTTTAGTCCGTAAGTTTGACGATATTCTTCAATTTTATCCCTTATTTTCTTTCCTCTAGTGCAGCTTTTCCAAGTTATCTAAAGCAACGATAACTGAAATATATTATTTAATTAATTTAAAAGTATAATAATTTCAACATAAATACTATATTGCAATATATGTATAAAAAATAAAGTTAATAAACTTAAATATAATTTAAATTAATATGTTTTAAATTTTATAATATAGTGTCTAAAACATATATATCTTTTTAGAAGTACTATTCTACAAAGTTAAATTTTAAACCAAATTTTTTAAAAACAAATAGCAATGTCAAACTGACTCGATCTCGAAAAGAGAAAATGTTGAAGCTTATCCCAATCATAATTGTCTTAAAACGGACCCATGTATGGTTACAACAAAATGTGTGCCAACATGCAATTGCAAACAAATAACACAGCTTTGTGAACAAAAGGGCTTAGCCTTAACAAGAGAAACATAACAACAACCAAATACTCACTCTTCAAATCTAATAATATAAACAAAATGCTTTCGGAGGGAAAAGAAAATGCCTATTAAATTCACCCAAGCATATAACACAAGCCTGCATCCTTTCGGAGAGAAATGTGGACTCATGGGAGTAAATATTATCATCACTGCTCATGTTTCTCTTGTACAACCTCACGGTACCAATCCCACGTTTTCTAGCACCTGATCTCGTATGAACCAGCCTTGGTAATATAGCGAACCCATTCAACCGTGTTATACCCACTCTTTTCCCACACCTGCGAAACAATGATGAAGGCAATTCAGCAAACTTCACCTAAAGGAATCACTTGTACGTTTAGAACAAATATGTATGCTTACCTTAAGAAACCGGACACGTAAACCAGAGGCTGTAAACATTGGAACCTGAGAAGAAAATGCAAATAAGTTACAGATGTGTTTTACTAGTCTGAAGGCTTTCATAGATGTGTGCTAAGCTGTCAATATCCCCAGTTTAAGTCACCTAAAACTTATGTTCTTCGGCATTTTCATGAAATGTAATTAACCAAATAGGACCTTGATTCTTCCTTTTATCTCCATTAACCATCCAATTGTTCGGACTACCCCCACCAAATTTCCAATTTTCTATTCATGTATCATGAATGGAAATTCAAGGATCTTTAGGAGGGTAAAATAGGGAGTCTAAAATACCAATGACATGGATTACAAAATAATACATGAACTAAAGCGTATCTAATAAGTTTTTTTTCCCTTCTATATTTAACAAGAAAAGATATTGCATCAAAACAAGCAGAATAATTCAACATAATCAAGAAGTAAAATATTAATCAATTTTGGCACCTGAAATTCCATCTGAATTGGTGGCCTAGTCCAAGATTTCTTCTCTGCCATCGTGGAAATTAACTCAACTTCTGCGCTCAAGGTTGGTTCTGTTTGTCCGGGGAATTTTCTTATCCTAAAATACCAGACAAATATAACATTGAGCAATTGCTTAAGCCAATCTAGAGATGAAGCATAAGTAGAGCTAAAACTACTGATTATTGGCAACCAGACCAGATGGCTGCAGCAGAGAGTAAACGCTTTGGCTGATCCACTTTGTGATGAGAAAAAAGCAGGCAGCAAGAATTTCAACACAAAAGTGTAGTACAGAAGATATGCATATATTAACAAACTGAAACACTTACTTCCAAACCAAGCAATCGATAGAAGCTTGATACTTTGCTCGACCTGATGTTACTTGGAAACTAGTTTTCGCGGTCTGTTTTGGAACGGGAATTTTGATGACAACCCCAAGAGCAAACATCTTTGCTCCAAAGACACTTTTAACCTAAAATATTAATGACAAATAAGTCAATTACAGATCCACGGGCTTCAATATTTTGGCAAATTCCAAAACGTTTGATTACAAACCTTAACATTTACTTCCATTCGTGTTCGACCAAGCTCCTTGATTGTTGGCAACACCCGGAAAGGAAGATTAACTCCCTCAGTGATTCGGTACCTTAGCATCATCGGGTTAGAAGGAACATTAATCATGCATACGTAAAAGAATTCCCTTTCACAAAGTATATCCAGATTTCTAGGTTCAAGGGATCTATGATCAAGAAAAGCATTCTAAAAGTAACATGCTAAGAATGGGCATACCGCATTAGCGTAAGAAGCAAGCTACGAATAACATAGAACTCACCAAACATGGCTTTTCATGATACTATATAACATAAACTAAAACCATAAGCTAAATAAGGGATAAGACTTCTAAGCTTACTTCATTAATTCGAATTCACCATCTGGTGGCACAAAACTAACAGTCTTTTCTGAGTTGAATCTTGTAAGATTTACGCACTGATGAAAAGTAACATCATCCAGCTCAATTGTCTTGCCACTGCAATAAGTAGTAGCATTGTAAGAGATTAAAAATTAGAAAGTTCAACTTGCTAGCACTGAAACCAGTATCAGAAGATTGACTTCATGGCAATAAGAACAGTATATAACCAGAGTATACAAAATTCTATAAATTAAGCAGTTTGATATGAAACCCTTTAGAAAGCCCCATGAAAAAGCAAAATTTAATCATAAAAACTGCATCATTGACAAGAGAGCAAACAAGAAGATATATGAATAAGGCAGAGAATAAAAGATGAGAATAGCAGGCAATTAGAAGCCACCTTTTAGCAGGCCGGGACTTTAATTGTGATTCTTTCTCGAGCCCAATTTTATCATTCAAGCCCAATTTCAGATCAGGCATTCCAGAAAGGAAGCACTTCATAAGAATCTTCCCTGTAACATCACATCGCAGAACACTGCCTGCAATCACAAAATGGTTTATATTAGAGCAAGCAGACATCAACAAAAACACTTGATATAACCAGTACCAACCTTTTGAAGACATCAGTAGGTTTACACTTTCCACAATGTCCAGAAACACCTGAAACAAACAAATGTTAATACCATTGAACAGCCACACTCAATATAGAAAGGAATTTGACAGAGCTCAGAAGCAAGATCATCACCTCATTCTTTTTATAAACAAGTCCCTCTCTTCGCCAGCCAACCGCACCTGTGACTTGTAAAGTTGCATTTGGAACAGGCTTATCCGAAGGCTAATTATTTGTTCCACACCACAAATCAAAATGGTTAATTATAATGTAACTTTACATAAAAATAAAAGCACAAACTAAATCTACATATGTTATACAAGCATTGCCTTCATGCATTAATCCTCAAACACAATAATCCATAATTCAAAAATTATAACTTACCTTGGATGAAAATGGAGACCGAACTCCTTCCTGAGTAATGTAAAGCTTTAAAATTTCAGGAGAAAGATTTTGTGGGTAGCCAAAGTCCATGATCTCTGCAATGGTAATCAATGAATCAAACATTTAGTAACTCATATGAACTCATAATTAAATGATTTTCTCTTTCCTTGAATCCTTTCTACAAAACAAATGCCTATATTATTATTTGATTTTCAGTTTTTTTATCAACTGATTCTACGAGCAATCTTCAATCTTTCAGCAGATACAACTAGTAAAAACAAAGTCAACCAAGCTTACTATCGCAATCCATAAGACCAAAAGTCAAGAATCACATAGCTAATCAGCACAATAAAGCACCACAATAGAATATCATCAATCAAGCCGTGTCTAAACATACAAGAAATCAAGTAAGACAATGCATGCTGAAGTATAAGCATTCATCTTGCATTGAATACATACCATCCAACAACTCATAAATCAGAACGAAATTATTACGAATAGCATCTTCATCAAAAGCACCACCGAAATATGATTTAAACAAAGCAACAGCCTGCAAAAAAGGATGCAAGCATCAATTATGACAGAGGAAAAGAATTGCACATTTTTCTAGTGGATTATGAGGCTAATATTTTCATATTAAACATAAAGAACAAGAAATCTTCCACTACCTCAACAACGAACTTGAAAGCACAAGCTACATTAGCATTACTGCTGACCACAATTACGATGTATACATTGCTAATTCTCATATAAAAGAAAGAGCAGCCTCCAATCTGTCGCACGGGACAAGTTCCAAGTTCTTTTGTCTGCATAATGTGCATTCGGAAGGCATCCACCATATTTCCCCTAAATGAAAAATTATACGAATAAAAAACACTTATATAAAAACACTCAGCAAAACTCCTTCGTCTCATGGAAAAACATAAACCTAGCTATGCGGAGAACCCTCGATGCGTTCACGGCAATACTTAGCTTACCTAATTCTATAATTCAATAGTAGGTAGAACTGAAAAGAAGAAAAGAGAGAATTACCCGACATCGTCGCGGTAGAGACGATTGATGAGGACATCACCGCGAAGATTCAAGAGGTAGATTGCAGAAGCGGCCACCGGCATCTTCGTTCCAGTGGATCGCGTAACACGCTAAATGAAGTGATATCAATTGGTGAACTAATTGGATCGGAGGTTGCTGAAACCGGCGACGGGACCGGATCTGGAAAAATAGAGAGCGTTCGCGTTCAACTTCAGTTCGGTGATCAAAGCCTCGGCGAAGGAGATAATTTGAAAGGAAAAGGATATTAAAGAGTAAAAAGAGCTTTGAACAGTTCGTTGTTGGAAAGATATACAGGTCAGGTCAAGGGACATTTCGGTCTTTATGGATATAAAAAAACAGCTAGGAATGTCTTGGTTCGGGTCGGATTGAGTATACCGGGTATTATACTTGACTTCACCTGACATCCAATCTGACCTGACACATACATGTATATTTCATTTTTATTTGATAAAATAAAAAGTTAGTTGAATATATATGTATATATATATAATTGATAATATTATAATAATTATTTTTAAAAATATAAAAATATAATTTTATTATATTAATATTTCAGATCAAATAAAGAGTTTTCACCTTAAATCCAAACTTAACCTCATCATTCACAAAACTTGATCTGGACTTGAATTTCAAAATAAAAATTCAACCCTATATCGGATCAAAAGGCTCACCTTTTGGATGAAGACCAAGAATATGTTTCTCATGGAAACTATATTCTACAATGTCATGGATGAAGTCTTCGAGGGTCGGGGGACAGGTTGAGCTCGTTGTGGAACTTGCTAATGAAATGGTAAGCAACGAGATTCCACTACTTATTCGACTATTATCAGCCCTTCTAGATGATGCTATCGGTTCGATATGGCCGTAGATTGGTTCGAGAAAATTTATGGATTTGGTTTGATGCCTACGAAGTCACTTACTCTGCAATTCTAGATGTTTATGCTAAATTTGTGTATATAATTGGGAGCAACACTGCAACGCTAAATATATACGGAAGTGGAGGAAATGTCGATAAGGCGATGCAGTTGTTTCAAGAGATGTCTGAGGTTGGTGTTGAGCTTAATGTAATGGGAAGCATTTGTTTGATTCAATGCTTGGTTAAGGCCGGAAGAATAGACGAGTTGGTGAGGGTATTCACTGTCTCGATCGAACAAGGAATTAAAGCAGATTACAGGCTCTGCTGATGCCTGTTATCCGTGTTGTCACTGTGCAAAAACAGAGAAGATATCGATAAAGTTCTTGCTTTTTTGGATCAAGCCAATTCTCAGTTAGTCGCATTCGTGGAATTCATCGAAGATGAGAAAAGTAGTCTCGACACTGTCAAAGAAGAGTTCAAGTCTATCATCGGTGACACTCAAGATGATGCAAGAAGACAGATTTGTAATTGCTTGGTCGATTACGTCGAAGCAAGAATCTCCATGAGAGACCACACGATCTGCTTTATCTAGGAAATCTATACGGGTCGTATCCACGTTTACACAATAAAACAAGGGACGAGTGAAGTCTGAATGTCCGAACGCTATCTGTAGGTGCAGCACTGAATTCGCTCGAAGAGTGGTTGGGGACTTTGATTCAGTGATTGGGGACTTTGGCCAGAGTCATTAAGCGTGGCCAAGAGATGTCTGAGGTTGGAAGTGGAGAAGCATTGCCGGAGCTGCTCTCGGCTCAAACTGGTACCAGAACTCATAAATTCGCTCAAGGACTGTCCAATTCCTTCGGTTCTCATTTGAAGAAACTTGGGGCACCGTTCAAGCAAAGTGAAGGCAAAGCTGGCTTCTTTATCGGGGAGGATTTGGTGCTGTGGTTGCAGTCAAAGATTGCATCATCAGCTGTTACATCTTAGATGGTTATTCGGCTCAAATATATATTTTTCAGAAAATTGTCACAATTTTCATCTTTCTTTACCCGAAAAGGAAATTACAAACAAAACTGAAAACATGTCTATAATTTACCAACTCTTTAGTAACTTCTGTGACAAGAAAAAGATAGTCTTTACTCTTTACATAAAGAGAATCATGGTTAGACTTTTCGAACTTGGATGTGATGGGTGGATTCGCGACGCCAGATCGGTTGTGCTCCACTTTGGACGAGAGTAACAGATTCCCCCTCTGTCACCATGTTCTTGTCCTAAAAGTCATAGAAATTTTGTATAACAAAAGCATATCAAGTACTGCATTTTAGTCTCTGTGAAGGGGATGAAACTCTTATAATTGAATAGAAACACAGGACTTTTTCACAACACAAATCTTGGGGCATTCTTAATCCGTTCAGAAGGAGTGCCAGCTTAGCACTGACATTGTGTTTTTTTCTTTCTATAAGCCCCCTATATTTGGCTACTAACATCTAGAACTGAAGAATCTAGATAGGATATTTACCACTAACAGCTTGAGTGCTCGGGAAAAGTCTCCTCTTCATCACCTGAAAACTGCATATATATCGGTATCACAACTTGATAAAGTGCCAGTCTCTGCTTAATCCTTTCCCTGCCAAGAACAAAAATTATGGCACAATAGTGGAACAGGGAACGAAAACAAGTTCTAATTTGGAATACCTAAACACTTCTCAATTAGACTATCATGAATTTGTAAATTGATTGTCGGGAATAATTTCCATAACTACAACGTACTGAAGCCAAGCTGCAACCATTCAAACCCTAAACCAAATCCAAATAATGTGAAAAGAATAGTTTACGTAGTACAGCTACTAAAACTTACTCGTTTGTGAAGGCAAAGATCGAAGAGGAAGGACGGTAATGACTCAATAGTATAGCCATGGATCCGGTTCTTGTAAAAACCAGGACTGGTGTATCAAGAGTGTTAGCCATGGTTGTTGAATGGAAAGCAAACATTTCACCCATATGACTCTGCAAAAGAATGCCATAATACGGCCGGGTTAGGAAACCAAAACTATAAAAAGGCGATAAAGAAACTGAAAATTAAAAGAACTAGAAAAGATCTCTCAGCTCTCTTCAGCCCAATGTCATATATCTGTATTATCATGGCATACAGCAAACAAAACAAACTTGAACGATATATAACAAATTCGGAAAACCAATTACCTTGTGAGCATTAAAGTGAACTGGAGGCATAACACTGACTGGAAGACTTAACTCTGTCCTCAATGCCACGGTGCATAACTTTAACAGCTTTAATTGGATACCTTTGGTTGTTGTCATCAATGGAAAATTAGCCAATATTTAAGATGCAAATACCAAAAAAATTATGTCATAATGTAAATGTTGGATTAAGTTATCTAAAACGACCAAGCATCCACAATTCCAGCGGAAAACATGTATTCCTAATAACATCTAACAATTACCTAAATATCAGCTGGCACACTTGATCGAGATCAGCTTATTCTGCCTATATTAATTACAAATAGATAGAGAAAGAGTTGAAAAATATCATATAAGTTATAACCGGGAAATTAAGTACCGCTCAGTTAGTTAAACAACAAGTTTTAGCCAACTTAACTCACTTTCCATGTGCGGTTTCTCCGGAAAGCATAACATCATCAGCACCTTCTCGAACAGCAATCGCGATGTCAGAAACTTCAGCTCTTGTTGGTGTAGGATGATTAATCATACTTTCAAGCATGTTCGTTGCCACGATTACTGGTTTGCATATCAAGACACCTTCTAATGATATCTTCCTGTTAGAATGACAAGAAGACAAGTTGGTATATATTTGGAAATGTATCTTCCATAAATTTCTTAGTTACGGAAAGTATATGGTGTTTACACCACTTCATCTTTCTTGGTATGGCATTCCATTCAAATTTTTGGGGAAAAAAAAGATGCCACATGCATTCTATCAAACCTATATTCTAATATAGAGTTAAAAGGAGGCGCATCAAGAATCAAAAGTTACCTGCAATAAAGGAACCTCCTCAATTGGAAGTTCGGCTCCAAGGTCTCCTCGAGCAACCATTGCCTAAAATAAAATCCATGCCAGCAGTAAAGTTTGAGTTCAGACACCAAAATCTCAGTCTACATGTCCTTCTAAAGCTTTTCGAGATTATAAATACATTGTTCAAGAATATCGAAACAGACCCCATCAGAAGCGGAAATTATCGAATGAAGATTCGGAATAGAATCAGCACTTTCGATTTTCACAATCACATCAATGTCTGCATTGCAAACTGCAAAAGAGTTTGGTAATGAAAAAGTCACAATTGTGGAAACCGTATAATAATATTGTACACACCTTCATGATTAAACAAGAATTATTTTACCTTTAAGATAATCTTTCAACTCATGGACTACTTTAGCATCCTTCACAAAAGAAACGGCATAAAAATCAACTTGGTTGTCCAACCCGAATTTGATATCTTCCCAGTCTTTGTCTGTAAATATGATGCATGTGATCCAAATTTTGATTAGCAAACAGAATTGGAAAGAACAGACCAGGTTTCAGGATGCAAAACGCCAAAACGGCTGCATGAATAACCCGTTATTGACGGCAGAGTGGCACTTTTTCCACGCACGTTTAAATGACGCCTTCACTTTAGTTCTCCACCATCAACTACTACACACGTAACCAAGTCCTTTGTCTTCGACTTTACCGCTAACGACATCATTCCACCTGCCATATAGACACAGTGTACAAGTAAAATCTTGACAAAAATTGAACTTTTTTTTTATAGAAATAGGATAGGCCTCGTTAAAACCCCCCTTCTTATCCTCCATGTTACAACAATAACATGAAGGGCATAGGAAGGAGGAAAAGAGTGCCTAAATATTCATTAATACCAGAATAATACATAGCCATATCCTAAGAAGTTTCTGTTACAACATAAGACTTAAAAACCAAACAAAGAACATAAATAACCAACTCAATAGCCGTACAACCTAGGCAATACCCTAATATTCATCCTATTCCTTCTTTAGCTAATTTATCCGCTTCCCAATTAGCAGCTCTCAAATTATGCCTGACAATTACACCTCTGCTCTCCACTAAGGCAGCAATATCTTTCACCAATGACTGGAACATAGGAGTACATACAGCCGGATTTTTAATCCATTTCAGAGCATTAAGGGAATTCGATTCAAGGATGACCCTTGGAAATGAAACCAAAGCTTTCTCCTCAATATACAACAGCCCTCTTTTGATAGCCAATAACTCTCCAAGAATAGGAGGACCCCCCCAATCCTTTCGGAAAACGAACCCTGCTACAGCCCTTCAACATCCCTTATCAACTCATTTTGATATTAACAACTAGAAACATATTGTGAAAACGAATTTAACAGGATAACCGAATCATCGGTTTCTTCATGTTAAAGATCAAATACATCAAAAGCAGGAGCAGAAA